AAACATATCTTTGTAAACATAACAAGATAGGTGAAGACTTCCAGGGTAATGGGATGTTTCATTGTACTTCATTTGCTTAACATTAATTGACATTAAAGTCAATTTTAGCCATTTACAACCAGACTACTTGCACATGTAAAGAAATAATCCCACCCACAAGTGGATTTCTATTTAAGTCTCATTTGATTGCTTTGGGAAGCATACACTAAAGACTACTTAACCCCTATCCTTCAAGAGTAGAAAGTTCATTCTTTAGGTAAATTAGAAAAATAAGAGAGAGATAAATCACCTCTGACACTGTCCTTTTATTACCCAGATGCATCCATGTGGACATTAATGTGAGTGATTACCTCCAAACATTGACGCGCTATTTTTAACTTAGAAATGTTCAGTCCTTGCTGAAAGTATGTATATGATTAGTATTTTGAGGAACAGAATTGCTCTAATTTAAAGGAGGGGGTGGAAAATGTTCTAGAAAAGGGGAAAAATCTGAGCTCTTTATAAAGCATATGCAAATTCCTCAAAATTGCTTTTTTAAAAAAATTTAAATTATGGGCTTCCCAGTCAACATTTCCAAAAGGCTCCTTCATTCTTTTTTTTAATTATTTCTAAACTACACAATCTCTGAAAGCTCAGTCCCTCTTTTCATTGGTCTTTCTGCAATACAAGAGCCACTAGATACATAGGATGAAGCAGTTCTGGGTTTGCTATTCTGCAGTTACATGTCACATTACCCTAATTGATACCACTATTATCTAGAACCATTAAAGATTAAATAATCACCTAAGTGGACCACTCTGCCCCCATACTAACCCATTTATGATGTGTGTGTTTTAAGGCACAGCAGTGCTTCTAAAAAGTTCAAATCCTTAAAGTCCTCATCTGTGGCTCTCAAACTTGTTTTCACTCTCAACACACCTTGGAAATGTAAAACACTTCAAGCCATAAGAACACCGGGTCCTGTCATTTGAAAAGCCTCTAAGGTCATTTTGATAAACCAACACACTCTGCTGGGGCAATAAAGAGAGAGAAGGGTATGAACTCTACCTCATGGGGATGAAAATCACTGGTTTAGTAGTGCATTCATGGTCTTATGCGCAGGGCCCACAGGACAACTTCCAGCTCTAGCCCCCTGTTGACTGTCCTCTGAAGTTAAAGAAGATGATTTTTTTTTATTTGTCTCTGGGTTTTGATAGGAAGAGAAGCAAAAATAGAACATCTCTTCCCGCTACAGAAGAACAGAGCCAGCTGTACTCCTGGGCAAAGGAGGTGGCCACCCACGAGGTGTAGTCTCTGGTAGGGGAGCTAAATTAACCTCTCCAACTGATGCCTGAATCCCCTTCACAAAGACAAATCATTTCATCCCACTGTCGGTGATTCTGCAGAAAATAGAATCTTCCTGACTTAAACACAGACATACTATATGCAGATGACTGATAATACAGAGCTCCTTTCCTGAAGCCAGTCTTCAATTAGAACATGGAAGGATAAGGGGACAAGAGAAGCTACCACAGGAAGAACAAGGCTGAAGAAAGAGAAAGATGCCTGGAGGCCTTTGTCTCCTACACAACTTAGCCCAGGCAGATATAGCAGGTGAAGACAAGGCTATTCCAGGGTTGTCCAAAAAAAGAGAACTAAGACATTTGGATATTATGTCCAATTTTAGCACAAGTATTTCCTATAGATTTAAAAAAAAACACTCTAAAGACTTCAACTAATGTTTATTGTTGAACAGGAGAGCAAGTAAATTCATTAAGACCTGGTTTGCATCCCTTATCACTTTTAATTGTGTGCTTTTAAACCAAGAGGCAGTACCTTGTTTTAACTCCATTAATTTAGGAATAAGTGGCAATATATTGATATCTGTGCATCTTTTTAGATGCTGTGGGTCTTACGCCATACTGAAGGGGCCAAAATTCCAAAAAACTGTCCTAAATTTTCACCTTTATTCAAGTCATAGCATTTGGCTAAATCACAGTATTATTTTTCAAAAAGAAATTGTAAGCCAATCTCCAATGCACTAATTTGCTAATCATTCCTTTATTAACTATTCAACTATTTCATGGCAATCCTAACATACATATTTAAACAGAATACATTCACACATAAAGTGAAACATTTTCTATCCCAAGAATGATTATCATCATCTCAGGATTAATATCAGCATAGAGTGGGATGCCTGGGTGGCTCAGCGGTTGAGTATCTGCCTTTGGCTCAGAGCGTGATCCCGGGATCTGGGATCAAGTCCCACATTGGGCTCCTTGCGGGAAGCCTGCTTCTTCCTCTTCCTGTGACTCTGATTCTATGTGTCTCACGAATAAATAAATTAAATCTTAAAAAAAAAATCAGTGTAGAGTGCTGGCTGGAGTCTCACATAAATCATCAAAGTAAATTAAAGTAGTAAAACAATAAAATTTATAAATTCACATTCATGTGGTTCTAAGTCCAGCTGGAAGATGGGCTGAGTACCTATAGTCTCTCACTTACTTTTAAAACACATACATTTTTCAAGCCCCAGTAATTTGGCTAATAAATAGATTTGCTTCCACATAATAAATGTTCACTCTGTGCCAGTATACTGATTTTAGTTATGATATTTACCATAGCCAACACCCCCTCTTGACTAAAAGTCACCCACTGTCTGTGATCTGGTCAAGAGTAGCAAGAGCAACCCTCTCATGTGCTGACCATCGTCTTAAGAGTTGACCTGGAGCATTGGACTCTGCCCAAAGAGTCAACGGTAATTCTCCTACCTGGTCAAATAAGGTCCTTCCAGAATTACCCAAGAGGGTAAAGAGAGATTTGGCCAGTCAACGAGAGAACAAAACACAGTGAAGCCAGGTCTAGACTACATAAAAACAAAACCCACCCTTCAGGTGGCCTGAAGTTCCCTTTGGCAGCTCAATAAGCAATTGTCACCAATATTCCACTCCTCAAATCCTTGTCTGACCATCCGTGTCTTTGGCTGACCATCAGACAGACTACAGGAAGGATATAGGATTCATAGGAATTATAATGGAACTGACGGGAACCAGGATTAGTGTAAAAAGGGAAGGGAACAGAGGGAAGGAAGAAAGTTTCCCTCTTCTCTAAAAGTAGGTGTTATAAATGGGAAAAGAGAGAGAGAAACCAAGAAACAGACTCTTAACTACAAAGAGCAAATTGTTGGGTACCAAAAGGGAAGTGGGGAGAAAGGGAAGGGTGAAATAGGTGATGGGGATTAAAAGAATACACTTATCATGTTGAGCATTGATTAATATACAGAATTTCTGAATCACTATATCACTATATTGTACCCCTGAAACTACTAGAACACTGTATGTTAACAGAATTAAAATTTAAAACTTTAAAAAAAGAAAAGAAGATTTTGTTGAGCAATAGCCACTGAATTAAGGACAGAAAAAAGATGATTTGGAGCAAGTGAAAAGAGAAATCAAGTCAGAGAGGAAAAGATGGGAAAGTCACTGAAACTAGATCCCATCACAGAACACAAAATGGCATGTAGTTCAGAATTGAGACTTGAAGAAATTCTAGATCCTAGGATGTGGTAAGAAATCTGGAAAATCCTGGTCTTCATCTTGTCTCCAGGCAAGGGGTAAGCTAGCTCAAGGGAAATTATTCTAGAAATGACGAATTAGATCACCTCTGGCTACCTATTTTAATCTTGTGTCCTTCTCATTGCCAAAAGGCTCTTCTTAATGTCCTTCCAAATGTCTCCAGCATTCTGTGCCTCTTCAATATCCCTTAGACACAGAGAGTTTCTCCTCAGCAGCATCCTCATTTCAGAAAATCTCATCAATCTGAAAATAGTCATTAAGCTGCTTCTTAGCATTCTGTCCTCTGAACTAAAGAGATTCATACAGAAGCTGGACAGCCACCTAGGGAGAAGTTACAAAGAGGATTCCAGCATACAAAGTGAGCCAGACTACATGGTCCCCCAAGATATCTTCCAAACCAAGTGCCCTTGATTCAATTCCTTTCATCTTTTTTGTGAAGTTTTCCACCACCAAGTTGTCCTTTTTTTGTCACTATAGCTGTCACCTGTCCAACTTCTCCATACTTTAGTATTTTTAAATCTAATATGCACAGGAACAGTTTCTCACAAAATAAAACAAAGTCTCATTAATTCAGATTAAGTTGGAAAAGTCATGTCCCACTAAGAAATCAGTGAAAACTATTTTCAATTTAAAAAATTATCTATTATAGGATACTACATTATAGATATTAATAAAATGAGAATGTTAATGAAAGATGGTGATTACAACTTTATTTTTATGGTACTTTATACTTTTCAAATTATTATTACAGACATTATTTTGTTTCATCAATTTTATTCAATATGTAAATGTAATTTATAGGTAGTAGTTCATCAAATCTATATCAGAAAGGCTTGAATTATCCTGCTAAACTTGAACCTTTAACTCAATAAGAATTATATATAATTATTCCAAGTCTGCATCAGAGCGGTCTGAATTAATGAGGTTCTGCTCTATTGTAGCTATTATAAACCTGACAATTTTATGGCCATGTTATATCCTAGAGTGTCACTCCCATCTTCACGTTAGTAATAAATACTGTTTCTTCACATAGGAACTTTTGTCATAACAGAGCATCCCATTTTAAAGAAGCTTCATCAAGTAAATTATCCTATACCTCAAACAGTATAGAAATGTTTTATATGAAAAATGTGCTAAGATTTCATTACACTCTCTAAAAATACTTGCTTTGACTTACAATCAGCATCAATAAGGAAGGTATCCCAAGATGTTAAGGCTTCAACATGTCACAAAAATTATCACTTGTTTGTTCAGGGAAAAAAAAAGTCACAATTAATCCAAACTAACTAAACAAACACATGTATAAACCCAGTCAGAGAATCCTCTATTTGAGGAACCTGGCAACCCTGAGAAGGTCAGTGAACATCTTCACCCTGTTCACTTTCTTCTTGAACCTGTGGTTGGAGTTAGAACAATGGTCAGAAAGATAATGTCTTTACCTACCTTAAAAAGTCTTAAAATGTTAGCAACCATGATGGACACGGAGCTTGCTGCAGCACCTATGACACCAGAAATCTTGTCAGGCTTGGTGAAAATGGGTGGATCTCCATTAGCACACTTCACATCAGAAGCATCTTTCTCTATCAATGCCTGCACGAACGTTAACGACTGCTCCAAAGCATAGGTGTCCCTGGAGCAAGTGTCAAGGATCCGGACACCCAGAGTGATATTGGAGAGGAGATCAGGGTCCTTATTAATCTGGTCGATTGCATAAAGCATGGCTTCCAGTCTGTGGATCCCCTTCTCCTTCTTCAGCTCCCCACAAGGTACTCCTCTCTCTCCCTTCGCATGGACAGGGAAGAGACCCCCCAAAATGATGTCGCCATCCATTCGTATGGAATGAGCATACTCCTGGCTGTGAGTTCTTTGCATCATTGTGAGGATCCAGTAGAACTTGGCGGTCAAGAGGAAGAAACAAGGGCAAGAAGCTGATCGCTTTCCCTCGCATACCATTTTCTCCACAGGTTGTGTTGCAACCCAAGACCCAAAGTTTATTCTTGCCACAGAAGAAGGGGGACCACCAGAGGCTGCACCTTCTGGAGGCTACCATCAGGGCCCATGGGGGAAAAGGCTCTGTGAGTTTCAGCAAGTTTTCTTCATTTGAATGTCACAGTGAATTTCCATCAGACCCCCTAAGGTTCAATTTTATTTCCATATAAAGTCAACTTGCCTGGAATGGTGCAAAAATCAGAATAACAGCTGAGGTTCTGAAGGTGGGATGAGGTCAACAATTCACGTCCTTGAAGTCAGCCCTGTAGCAGAATTATTCCTGAGGGGGGGCAAGGGAAGGGAAAAAAACGGTTCAGTTCAACGGTTCTACATTTTCCACATTTTCCAGTACCGCTTTTTTTTTGTTTGTTTCATTTCCCCTATTCAGTAAGAAACTGATTTTTTTTTGTTACCCCTATGATTCTGAACACCTGGCTGCACTGCATCTAAACAGAGAGATTGATGACACTTTTGGAGCAAGGGAAACAAAAAAGTATCAGAAACTAGGTTGATTCTCCCAAGCCACAAAGTATTTTTATTTACCATTTTATTTCAATAAATCCAATTTCCATGCAGGTAAAAATCCTGTGATTGACGGCATTATTTCTTTTCAAATCTGTTTTTACTTTTTACAGCTGTCTGGAATTTAGCATTTAAATTTTGTCCACAAAATCATAATGAAAGTCTATTTTATATGATGTATTCAACAAGCCAGTCATCTGTTAATGACATTTTTTTGGTACCTCAGATTTTCCAGTGGGGAAAAAATGATTATTCAGTCGAAGGAAGGAAGGAAGGAAGGAAGTCAGTAAATCCAAGGACCCCAAAATGTATACATTTTATAGCTCATGAAAAGATTTAACACAAAATGTCAGCTTTTTGTACAAATTGTCTTATTATTCTCTGATAACAAAACAAAGACTTGAAAATGAGACATGTGAGGAGGGTTATGTGTGAAGATATTCCTATGAATTTGTTGGGGTGGAAGCAATGGGTATTCTCACAGCGCTGAAAATAAACACTCTTTGATCCTAGAATCACTGGTTGCAAATCAGAGCTGGAGATCAATTGAAGAGCTTCTTAATTTTGTCTGACTCAGGGGGAAACTGGTTATTTCATCAAGGCTAGAAACAAGCTGAAGTGAAAACGTCTACCAGCAAATCTAGAGAAAAAGTTTAGGACCTTCAATCTCAAAGAATTCCATGAGATTCTTTCAAAGGACTTCCGAGAAGGCTTAACTGAAAGCAAGAACTGACTTAACACAAGGGAATCTTATATTAGAAACACACTTATAATTAAGTGAATAAACAGCACCAACTTATTTTGGCAGGATGGTTCACCTAAGCCTTGTTTCGAACCTATTTTTATATATATGGGTCTGAAACCTGAAATTTAAACAATCCTCCTCTAACCTAGACAACCAACATCTGGTTGTGTTTTCCATTCACGTGTTTAATTTCCAGTTCATAAAATTTTCATTCCATCCTCCCTGTCCCAAAGGAAAGGATACTGCCTCCTAAGAGGATAACTGAACATATGTCCAAAAGCCTTCAGAGAAAGCTGCACTTTTCTCGCTTTCAGATTAGAAAAGGGGGCTGGCTCATCATAGCCCACCACCCTGGATTTCTGAGCACACACCTGGAGTACACTCAGAAATACAGCCAATGGCCCACCTGCCAGGATGGCTCTATTCTGGCTATGACAAGCATTCCCTGCCTCCTGGCACAGGCTAAGCCCTAGACTCCCTCCATTCTACCACCAAATACTTAGTCCTTTTCTGATTTTTCTCACCACCTGACTGATACTCCCTCATGTTCAATTCTTCTAGCAGCTGCTTCTCCCTCAGAAAATCTGATTTGACAATAGCCTGACCTCAGGCATTCCACAAAAGGAAACACTCAGAAAGTCAACTTGATTTTCTGGGTAAAACCACTGAAGTGATGGACCATAAATTACATCAACCACCCATTAGGAGATGTAGGATTATGTTTTACAGTTTCACAAGGAAGACCAATTATAAGACAGTAAAATCTCATTAACTCTGACCACTAATTCAGAGCTTAAGACCAAGTCCACATGGCTAGGCTGACCCTTCGCATATCCTTTCTGACATAGCACAGAATAAATGGATATGGGAAGGAGAAATGTTTAAGGGAAAAGGAAGGGGAAGGACACCTGTTGTTCTCCAAAGACTAGCCTTTCATCATTATATTTCATTACCAAGCCTCCTAAGTACTTAAAAGAAAATCATTTTCAATTATACAAACATAAAAGCAGTTCATCTGTTAATTACAAATCATCCTTCCCGGGAATATAAGGGAAGGGAGAAGAAATGTGTGGGAGATATCAGAAAGGGACACAGAACATAAAGACTTCTAACTCTGGGAAATGAACTAGGGGTGGTGGAAGGGGAGGAGGGCGGGGGGTGGGGGTGAATGGGTGACGGGCACGGAGGGGGACATTTGACGGGATGAGCACTGGGTGTTATTCTGTATGTTGGTAAATTGAACACCAATAAAAATTAATTTATTAAAAAATAAATAAATAAATAAATAAATCTTTAAAAAAAAAAACAAAAAACCCCCCAAAAAAACAAAAAAAACAAAAAAAAATAAAAAAATAAAAAAATAAAATAAAAAAACAAATCATCCTTCCCTGTTCATGTGGCATTAATCTAGTTCCACTTGTTGTACAGTCCTGGAATTAATAAAATTGAATTTCTTATAAAAGTATTTGTGTTTGTAATAATGTTTAGTCTCTTTAGCATCTCATAGGTCTATGTGGAGCTTTAAGTTAAGGAAAGGTTGGGGATGATTAGCAGTGAGGCAAGAATTCATTTTATTTAGTGGATGAATGCACTTAAATGGAAAATGAGAGGTTCCATTTTGGTTATTGTTTATTGGACAGCTCACTTAAATTTTTGCTTAAGTTCCCTCCTCTGCAACATAGAGTGAATGGTGCATAACCTCTTTCAAGCTTGGTTTTCTTGTTTGTAAAGGTCTGAGAGAACCTGGAAATTGCCATGCTGCACAAACAGAAAGCTCAGTACCTGGCACAGGGTACGTGCCCAGTTAACAAGACCTGACATCGCTACTCTAGTCTGTTAACTCACTTTCCACTAAAGCAGTGCAAATTTTTCTGCCTTTGCCCCACTGGTGGGGTTCTTACTGAATTTTGTTTGCCACTTCAAAATTCAAATCAGAACTACTTATAAAATACTGAAATACTGCACCTATTTCAAAATCAGATACGTTGTCATAAAAATCAGACTCTCGACAACAACTGAAAGGTTTAGTTTCCCTTTTAAAGTTTAAGGAAAAATATATTTCAAAGTTTGTGTTAAACCACATAAATTCAGTTTCATTGTATAATCTTGTATAATCTTACTCTCATGCAATTTTTTGTGAGCTTTAATCTAAACTTATCCCATTTGGAGTTGATGAGTTTTAAAGAAATGATGACTTTTTCATACTACAGAACTAAATAGTTGTACTTGGTGTTCTGTGCTTGGTTTAGAATAAAACAGGTTTTCTCTCAAGTGGACCTTCCTCTGGGAATGGGTACAAATCTTGCCTGTGCTGATGGACTTCTTCAAGGACGTGTGAGGTCTGCAATCCTGAAATCAACCTCCGAGGGGAGCAGATGCCTTACACTATTTCTGAGTCCACAGAAAGGGCTTCACGACCTTTGAGGAGGCTTAACCATTAACCCCCAAAGCCCTTACTGTTCACTCCTTCCGGGCACATCTTAAGTACAAGGAACATCATACATCATTAGCACTTCACTGAAAGTCCCTGCTGGTCTAGAGAGGACTCTGGCACTCCTAAGAGTGCTCTGTTTCCTGAAAGGCCACAAGTAGGACAGCTCCTCAAGGGCCAGGGCCCTGTATTCTGCTTCTCTTTATTTTCTACATACCTCCTTTGTGCCAAAGACCCAAGTGTGTAACACAGTAGCTCATGAATTTTCATATACCTATCTTTTAGAAATGACAAAATGAGGCCCAGAAATGTTGAGTATGGCCCAAAGCCCTGAGCTAGTAAATGGCACCAGTCAAAATCCTCAGGCCCCCAAAGTGGATCCTGTCCTTCAGAAAGCCCTCAGTGCTGCAGAGACTGGCTGTGAAAGCACACATGAATATGAAGGCCCTTAACCTCCATTGAAATCTTTTAGAAATGTATATATCTTCAACAGTTAGGTCTTTAAGAAAAATAATATACTAATTAGGAAGAGACAATCTGGAGGCATTTCTAGGGCAGAGTAATTTCCAAATTCCTCAAAGGGTTGAGAATATCAAATACAGTTTGTCCAAACCTCTGCTTCAAACCAGGTTTCCCGGCCAGCCTGATGCCAATGAGAACAAACCCACCATCCCACATGGGACCCATCAGGTCTGTTAGTATGTCTTCCTCCAGGATTTGGCAAGTGCTTTTAAGACATGATACGGTAAAATCCTCACTGAGGAATATCATTAGCCAAGAATCATGACTTTTTTCTCATAAAAAGGCCAAACGGCATCCCTATGCTGGATTCCATTCAGCTCTTTAACAAAAAGGTTAAGCTGAATATTGTCATCAACCTAAAATTGCAAATCTAGCAGTTTCACCTGAAACTGCTCACACTTGCAGCTCTTTTTGTTGTTTTAGAAAATGCATCAAAAAAAAAAAAAAGAAAATGCGTCACATTTGTCTACTATCTCCTATACTACAGCATATGTGCATGACCCTGAAATCTTGGGGGTCCCCAGAATGAGGATGGGCCCCAGACAGAGCCCTCCCCTGGCAATGGAGGCCTGGAATTGGATCCTAGTTTGACGGTCACTGGCTGGTGACACTGAACATGTCATTTCACCTCTGTGTGTTTCCATTTCCTCATCTGTGAAATGAGTGAGATGGACCATATGATCTCTAAGGTATCTTCCAGCTCCCCTTTCTGAGATTCTATTATTTAATAATAAGGGAATGAGA